TCATACAACATGTGCGCGATATATCGCTAGGACGAAGGACGTATCATTATTTGTTAAGCGGTTTGGTAAGTGAAGGGTTTTGGCATACAGACACATATACAAATAGAGATAATAAATATGCGCATACACACAAACGTGCATACATTCCTATATGTACATATTTATGTTTATGTATATAAATTTCTATGCAGCCGCAATGCTCTTACATTTAAAGCCAAGTAAATAAATCGTTCTGCATGACTGCCAAACCACAAATGAACAAAAGGAGAATGTGTGCTCACTTACACGGGCATATACATATGTACCTACATACAAATACGTAAAGCGAAAGCAAAAGTTGGCAAGCATGTAGGTAGTACTAAATATTTGAAGTTTGTGATGGTGATGCTGCTGGCGGTGCACAGTGGTTAAAAACTGGCATTTAGTGTTCACAATTCATCAGAGCCTGCATTTTTTACTCAGTTTGAATTTTTTTTTCCAAAAAGAGGAGTTGAGCCCGATTTTGGAATTTTTGTTTGTTTGTATTAAATTTTTTAGTGCAAAAAGCAGAAAGAGTAGCAATTTTGAAAAAAAAAATCATTCTACTGTTCCAGCGAATAAATGTTAGATGATACGAACTAATTGAAAAGAATTGTAGGGTTCCCTCAAAATGAAAAAAAAAATTACAAAAAAAATTTGGAATGTTATAAAAAAAAAATTCATACAAATTAAAAAAAAATAATATATCACTAAATTTTAGTATAACAAAGTGCAATTTGCAAGTGGCTAAGAGGTCGCGTTGATTTTTAATAATTTTTTTCGCTAACATTTCGAGCACATTTGCATGCTAAATGGCAAATAAAAGGTTTCTTATATTTAAAGGATTCACAAGACGTGTTAACCGTGGTAACATCTTAAGCTTAACACTTTTGAATGTAAAATAATGATAAAAATGGTTTTACAGGTTTTCTAACTACACCGAAATTTCTATCAATCCTAAATTTAATGATCTAAACAAATGCATACACAAAATTTGAATAAGAACTAAAAAAAAATGTATTCTGTTGAAAATTTTTTATAACACTTCATTTTATTTTTATTTATTTTTTTTTTTTCGTTTTGGGCGAACCCTACAATTGTTTTAATTTTAAAACTAAAATAAAATCAAACTGAGTGAAAAATGAAGGCTACAATTTTGAAGTGTCAATTTTGAACCACTGTGCGCTGATGGTCTACATTAGTTTCGTTTGTTTTTACGACTACCTCTCTCTCTCTCTCTCTCTCTCTCTCTCTCTCTGTGTTGGTTTTATTTGTGCGGGCGCCCACAAAACGATTTGTGTGGCTTTTTTGGTTTGCTCAGCGGTTTCGATGTTTGAAACCACATTAATAACCAATTATCCATGTTGTACGTGTTGTCATTGGGTCGAGCGTTACGTGCCAATTTTTGCTTAGCAAACTGCCAAAAGTCATGCTGAGTCGTACGTATGTATGTATGTACGCGAATTTGTGTTGAGTATTTATCCGATATGTATACCTATGCGCATGCAGAGCAATCGGTCGTGATTTCATTTAAGTATTTTATTTTTATTGGCCACAGCTAGATATGTAGATACATACAGCTTTGTTTTACTTAGAAACTTTTTGCACTTTTTCAAATTACTATTTTGATTGGATCTCTTTCAGGTAATGGATGATCGTTGGGAAAGTGAAATCATCGAATTTGGCGCCATCAATATAACCGGATTTCGTATTGTTGACACTAATCGGCGGTTTGTACATGATTTCCTTGACAATTGGAAGCGTTTGGATCCGGCGACATCGATGGGCGCGGGCAGAGAATCAATATCGGTATGCATACATACATACATACATACATACATAAATACATATGTACATATTTACACATAAGTAATACAAATATTTGCTTACCATAAATGCATGCATGTAAAACGATAACAACAATGTGCCTGAAGCGTTAAACCACAGGCATTTGATGTCATGATTTTGTGAAAGCCTGTATACACATGTCCTTATGGCCAGATGTATGTGTGTATATGTATGCGTAAATATATATAAACACGTGTCACATAAAATTTTGATTTCACAAGCTTCAAGTCACATAGGCATACTTTTGCATACTTAAGGGAATATATGAATAAAGCAAATAATTGAGTATAGCCCCACCCAGCAGTGAAATGTAGTATGTAATGTAGTAAAATGGAGCTTACCGAAAATATTGCGCGTACACAGAATGACACTTTGATTTCAAATTGCCGTTTTAAAGTCGGTTAAATCGAAGAACGGTTTATGTAGCCGTACGATTCAATTCTTTTATAGTTTTTGTACTCTCGTAAATCGATCTAAAAAATTTAGGAATCAACATTTTATTTTTCCTCAATTGATGCATACTGATCTAGGCTTTGTCTTAGAAAATCTATTAAATTTAAAAAAAAACACAGCATTTCGCAAATATGTAACCATTTTCCTGAGTAAGGCTTAGAATTTATGAAATTTATGTTGTATGCATATTTCGTTGTCTATATATGTAGCTTTTGGATGATTCTGGATATAGAAACCGGCATGAACAAAAATTAATTACAAAAAAAAGTTCAATTTCAATGGTTGTTAGATCGCAGTGTTTTTTTTTTTTCTTTGCAAAAATTAAGTAAAAGGCGTTATTTGAAGATCGACTTATTCTCTAACGATTTCTATCTGCATCGATTACATTGGCCAACGAAATTGCACTTTTGGCCTGATTTTTTGAGCATTCAGAAAAGCTCTCTGACTGCAACTTCTGCCAGAGTTTTTTTCAAATTAGGATCTTAATAAGATTAGATTAGCTACACTGCCCGAAAAAAGTTGGGCACAGAGAATTTGTTTGCAATTTTTATTATATTTTTTTATTAATTCAAATTTTTTACTAAAATTTTGTTCATACTACAACAACAAAAAATAAAAATATAATTTCTAAGCTTTATGAAAAGCTCAGGAAAATTCTGTAAATTTTCACACAAATTTTCAACTTTTTAATCAGCTTATTTAGAATTTTTTGAGTATGTAATTTTGTAGCCCGATAAACTTTATTCTAACAAAGTGCAGGTTTGAAGTAGCTGGGACTAACGGTTGATTTTTGGCAAATTTTTTACGCAGTTTCTTCCATACAAACAAAATTTTGAAAATACTTTTTATGGAAAAAATATGAAACACCATGTGTCATATTTTCCTAAATAGAACTGATACAGAAATTTTAATCACAGATTTGAATTCGTCATTCAAAATTAGGCTAGCATCTTGTAATACAACCTAATCATCACAAATGCTGTTGTGCGGTGTTAATTGTATTTTGATTAGTATCATTCAAAAATCTATTTTTTTATTTTATTTCGATCTGCCAAAAATATGTAAGCGACAGTTTTTTTCAATTTTTCTTTTTGATGCAGAAATATTCCTAGAGCAACTAGGTGTAAATGTCGCTTGCATATTATTGGTGGTTAGGGCCAAGCATAGACTACAGAGCACGCGAAGGTTAAATACTGCGCCCAAAACTGTGCAGAAAAAACTCAATTTTAGAAGCACTAACGATGGCAACTGGCACTGTTATTGTTATGACCTACCGAGTACGTAACAACAACAAACTGCTCAGGGACCAGTTTCCTCGTTCATCTTTCAGATACCTTATGTAGCTCTCACCTAGTTAACTTAGAAATTCCCAAATACCTCCAAGTGGACATAACCAGGAGCCGAATCGCCCACTCATTAACTCAGATTTCATTTTTGCCTGTACACTTTGGCACTTCCTATACAGTAGCTTGTTTGTGTTTGAAGTTGTTGAAGTTATAGTCAGCTTCATACCAGTTAACGAACTAGTCAACATCCGCATCAGTCTCATATCAGTAATTCTACTGTACTTTTTTTTTATTATTTAGTTTGAATTTTCACTCCAGGGTACTTACATATGTAAATATGTATGTATGTAAATAGAAATTATTTATTTACATGAAAATGCAAAACGCCCCCAAAGACATGCTCACGAACATGCTTGCAAGTCTTTGGAAACATATTCATAACAAATGTCAGGCGCCACACTCTCAGCTCAGCTCAGCTCAGCTCAGCTCAGCTCAAGCAGCCAACCCAACCCATTCGATTTCTATCGTGCTTACCGTAAACTTCTCATGTTTGTATTTGTTTTGTACTTCCGCCTTTTTGTTTGGTTTCTGTCATCGTTTTGCTCTTCTTGTTATTATTATTGCATTCATACATATTCTTATTGTTATTTTGTTATTTGTTATGCTTTGACAGGGTAAATGTGGCGATAATGTCGATATAACACACAGATAAAGCTGGCCGCACACGCGCCCCAACACCGATACACTGACAC